TGATAAATGTCCTAGGCAGGCTGCATGTGGCCCGCAGGCCACAGTTTGAGGACGTCTGGCTTAGGTGATTCTCCTGCCTCAACAAGCTGGGACTACAGGCGCCTACACAATGCCCAGCTTTTTTTTGTTGCAGTTTGTCCAGAGCCGGTTTCTAACCTGCCATCCTTGGTATATGGGGCTGGTACCCTACCCACTGATCCACAAGTGTTCCCCCGAGTGCTGATCTTTTTTTGTTGTTGTTAAGAAAGTTTCCCACCCTATACCCTGAGAAGAGGTGCAATGGTGTCATAGCTCACTGTGACCTCAGATTTGGGCTGTGGACATCCTGTTGCCTCAGCCTGTGGAAGGCGCCCAGCTGGGTTTTGCATTTGAGTCAGGGTCTCACTCTGCTCAGACAAATCTTGAACTCCTGAGCTCAAGCAGTTCTTCTGCCTCAGTCTCCTACAGTGCTGGGATTACAGGCATGGACTACCACATCTGGCTGGTCATTTTTTTTGGAATACAGATCAAAATAGTAGACTGCTGGGCATGGAGGTGCACACTTCTAGTCCTAGTTCCTCAGGAAGCTGAGGCAGGAAGATCACTTTGTGCCTAGAAGTCAGGGCTATGGTGAGCCATGATTGTGTCTGTGAACAGCCACTGTATTCCAACCTGGGTGATGTAATAAAACCCCTGCCTCTTTTAACAAAAATAAAAATATGTATTGAAATAAAAATAATCATCCACATACCACCTGAAGTAATTCCATGTGAGTAGGGAAAACTATTAAAAAGCGTGATGTACAGTTTAAATATCAGAAACGTTGGGAGGTAGCAGCAGATAAAGTGATCTACTTAGCACTGTGTATTTCTTTACCTTGTGCTCTTTTCAGATGCCGCCATGGCCCTTTGGGGAAATGTGTGCATTGTGTTCCGCTAGAGGTGAGTGTCTCTGTGGAGTAAGTCCTGGGACCCATGTGGTGGGTTGCTGACAGCAGAGCTCTCTCCATACTATCTCTGAGTCTCTGTACTTCGTTGTGGTGGTTTAAAGAATTTATCTGTTGAAGTGGCTTAGGCCTGTAATCCTAACACTTTGGGAGGCAGAAGAATCACTAGAGCCCAGAAGGTGGATATTGGCCTGGGCAATAGCAAGACTTTTATCTTTACCAAAAATACAAGAATTAGCTACACATGGTGGTGTACGCTTATAGTCCCAGCTACTCAGGCTGAGATAGGTGGATCGCTTGAGGCCAGGGGTCTGAGGTTGCTGTGAGCTATGATGATGCCACTGCACTCCAGCCAGGGCAACAGAATAAGACCTTGTCTCAAAAAAGAAAACCAAGTCATCTATTTATTGCCCTGGGCCTCGTATTCCCACTGGTGCAAACTGCACCAAGAGGACAAGCCTGTATTTATGGGAGTGACCTTCTTGGTAGATTATGAATGGTTAAAGCACTCGTGTGGCTTTGACAAAGGGGCAGCATTTATAGTGGCTGCCTAGACAATCCTTTTAAGATCTGACACTAAGCTGGGCCTGTCGGTTTTTGTGCTCATCACTGTTGTGATTTACTTTGCCTGGAATCTCACATCTCTGCGGATTTGTCCTGATGAGATTGAGCATTGCCATGATAACGCTGACTGGATACTGTTTAATGCTGACTTGATGGCAGCAAGGCCAGTTTGATTTTCTGCACAGGGTTCCTCTTGCTTCTTCTTGTGGCATTTCTTTTTGTAAAATTTTCCTGAAACTTACTTGACTGAGGGTGTTTTATATTTAACAGAGATTCATATCTTAAAAAGATAGATGGTACACAAGGAAATATTCCATTCTGACCTAGAGAGATCCGTGAGAACCCAGCACTTGTTTTGTCCTGTGGGTCCTAACTGGTGGAGGCCGAGCTGCCTGTTTCCTTTCTCCATGTGCGCGGCATGGCCTCTGTGCTGTGAGTACCCTGGCAGGTGTGTGACTGTACTTGCTGATTTTGTGTTTTTTGGCAGCCATTTGACGAAGACTACCTAAACCACCTTGAGCCTCCTGTGAAGCATATGTCCTTCCATGCCTACATCCGCAAGCTGACCGGCGGGGCTGACAAGTAAGCAGCTTGCTATAACCTTGAATGCATAATTGC